CACAGAAAGCACTAGAAACGTTCACACACAGATACACCGACGCCATAACGAAACACTCCTTCCGAACTAACTTAACACGCGATCCTATGATGTTATCCCGCTTAGTCTGACTGAGTCTGCGTTATATCAAACCCACGTGTCACCGAGGAGACCTTTTGCCTTAAACCGACCGAATAACAAAAGTCTCGTCACTCATAACGACAAACTAGATGCGAACCTCGAAATTTCATCTCGCTTCAAACCCCCCGAATATACTCATGCGAGGAGTATGGTATCCACCCGTAACCTTCCTTAAACACCCTCAGCAGTTTATTTTGGAAACATCACTCGCGCAACAAGTCAAGTTCAAGCACAGAGGCTAGGGACAGATAGGGTTAGCCTATCGATGTTAAATGTACACGTGAGGGTGGTATATAATTAAGATTCTACGGACTTAGGATGTGTGTTTCCGCCCTATCTCCTGTTCCTTGTCTGGTTATGGACCTGGCGCAGAGTCACCTATCCGACCATCTTATCAATCTTAATTATATACGACTTGTGTACATGAGACAATGGTAGATGAACCAGGTATGAGTCCTAACATGAACTTCAGGACAAAGGCTGCTCAGATATACGAATGGGCATTCTACCAGTTAGATGAACATAGTTGAGCAAGCTAAACCTACCAAACCATCACAAATCAGAACAACCCTCCCATCAATGATGATCTGCTGAAGCAACCAGCGAGGATCTGAATTCATTGAGAGAATGCAAGGACTAAATGGAACCAAAGTAACCGTCTCCTTTCCTTATCCTTAACCATCCACTCAGAATCCGAATTCCGGGACAAAATTCCCTCTAACGGGGGGATGATGTGATAACCCGAACCTTTTTCCATTTTCATTATCCAAATCCCGTTAATATAGTTTGGATTTTTATTGTGTCCCGTCAATTTCCTTTGGGTTGGAAAGTCATTTTTAAGCTTCATATATGAGTCGGGACCAAATCTACACGAAATTTTGAGTTTTCTGTCGATCAAAATAATCATTCACGGCCGAACTTGGGTTCACGGCCGTACACCTATGTACGGCCGTACACTCGTTTACGGCCCAAGTCGGGTGGACCCCACCATCGACCACATAAACCCCTATAAATATGAGACCCTACCCCTCATTTACACTCTTCTGGCCGAACACCCTCTACTTCTCTATCTAGACTGTCGACCGTACACCCCTAAAGCACCCTTATTCTTCCGTAAAACATCGAAAAACACCGTTGGGGGTTCATTTCGGAGCATCTAGGTCACGTATTCATCGATTCCAACACTCTTGTTCTTGAGTGTACGACCGTATTCCTTCAAGTTCGTAGACCGTACACCTTCAAAGGCCGTACACCCCTCCAAGGCAGTCTACGGCCGTACACGGTTCACGGCTGTACACTCCCTTTCACGACCGTACACACTCACTGAGTGGTACACTAGGATGAAAACCCGCTTTCCTCGATTCACTCAAGTCCCGGTAACATTCCTTAACCGAGAACAAGTGCTTTCCAACACTTTTTTTAATGAAATTGCTAATATAGATACAAATATGTATTTAATTGTTATTAGGATTCCGTTAAGTGCCACGTACAACAACTCGAGGGTCTTCGTTTCCAGTTCATTGATTCGACGCTTGCATACAATTAACAGTGACTTCATACCCCTATATTTTCCGAGTTTTTAATGTTTTCAGGGGGGAATACAAGTAAAAGAACAAGTAATCTTGTGTTTAAAAATATAATTTGGTTTATTATATTTTCATATCACTAGTATACATTGAACATAGAAATTGCATACATGGTAAACATCGTCATTACTAGACCTGAAATCAGTTTTGCAAAACATGTTAAAATACCTACATTACAAAAACAGTTTTTCAGAACAGAGGAAACAAACTTATGAATTAAGAAATAAAAGTATTATTTTATAAGGATTCATAACAAAAAGGATTTTCATAGTATTATTCGTGAATTCGTTGAGAGATCCAGCAGTGTGAGACGCCTTGTAACCAGAGACTCCTGAGAGGGAGAGCGTGAGTTTGTGTATAGATCTATACGGGAGTGACAATCCCGCACCCTGACTATTAGCTACAGTCAACCTAGGGTGACAAACGTCATTTTTAATGACGTACGTCCGAGTACGTTGTATTGTTGATCGTCTATAGTATGGTTATAGGAATCCACAGGTGAAACAACGACTCGTTCACATAATAATACACCTATCAAGCAGACATTAGGGTTAGTAACTATGTGATTACTTAGTATATACACTAGCGTAATATGAAATTAACATCCAACTTGCAGTGGGATGTGTGATCTCCGCCTTATTTCTTGTTCCTTGTTCAGTTATGGGCTTGGGGCGGAATCACCCAATCGACTGTCTATCCGATCCAGATTTCTATAACTCGTATGTACTAAGTGATCGCATGAGGGTATTCACACTACGGTATTCACACAAAGGTTTTCATATAAAGGTTTTCATACAAAGGTTTTCATACAAAAGTATTCATACAAAGGTTTTCGGCTTGGTTTTCAAACTGAACAATGCTTAACAACATAAGTTTGATAAATACTTATAGTTTTCGGTTTGGAACAGAAAATTCAATAACTTACATTTAGGGAAAATATAGGATTTTCCAGGGTAAACATTAGTACTCTTAAATCAATCGGTTATTTATTTCACTAATGAACATTCATTAATAATTCTGTAATTCCTTAGTTTATGCATCCAGGCTATGTGTGAAGAATATCCGACAAACTATGCAATGTGTGGTTTCCGCCTCATTTTGTGTTCCTTGTTTGGTTGTGGACTTAGGGCAGATGCACACAATCAATCGTCTGTTCGATATTGGTTTATACATAGCTAGTATGAGCTAAGTAGTTATAAAAAAGAATTGGTTAATCATGCATACAATAAGAAAATAATGGATTTTCTTGAGGAACACTTTCAACAGAATTCAAAAGACTTATACAGTTAACTTTGTAAGTATCTAGTGAATACTTCAGGATTATGTACATAAGGATCCGACAACCATTGGAATGTGTGGCCTCCGCCTCATTTCCTGTTCCTTGTTTGGTTGTGAGCTTGGGGCAGAACCACACAATCGATTGTTTGTTCGATCTGGATTGTATATGATTTGTATACACTAAGTACTCGTAGGAGGAACTGGTAAGAATCATTTTTACTTAAGGTTATACATTCATTCCATCAGAAAATATAAGGTTTTCTGGAGAAAGATAACGCACTTTTCAAAGGAACAAAGAACAGTCTTCTAAAACAAAAAGCTTATGAACTCACTAGCTTTATGCTGATACTCTTTCAAAACCTACTTGTATTCTCAGGACATTAGTAGACAGGTACACACACCGGGTTCAAGAGATGGAGCATAGTAGTTCGATTCTTTACTTGCATTTACTTTTGTAGTCAATCGTGTATGATTCAAATGTAATGTAAACACTATACTATTAATACAATGGTTGTTGTTGCTTTGATTACTATTATTCAGTTGTTGTGATACTATATATGACGTCCTCCGCCCCCGAATGTTTCCGCCGTTTCGGTTTGGGGGTGTGACATTACCACCCTGAGTACTATCTCATTCGGTTCCTCCACCTTGTCCGGATCCAATATTCCTATTGGTTTCAAAGTTAGCTAGGGCATCCGCAACTCGTTGGGAGATCAATGCGTTGAAAGCAAGTTACTCAATCAAGGTTTGGTTGGCTCTCTAGCCATTAGAGGTGTCACATTTGAGGCACTTGCTTTCAAGAGTTAAAGATCTTCAAGGTGTTCTTGTTATTACTACATAACAAGTAAGGTAAACATCTAAACCCTATTTTTGTGTAAATTTCGAATTATATACTAGTTTCTAGGGTTTTGCTTTGGTATTGAAGTTTGCATGTTCAATTAGTGAAAAACCTAGATCTAAAGCAATAGGGTTGCATGAACACATAGGATTTGTAGTTATGCTCAAAACCCTTCATATATGTGTGTGTATATATATATATATATATATATATATATATATATATATATATATATATATATATATATATATATATATATATCATAAAAAAGTGTGTCGTCTAAAACTGTCGGTTTTTATTTTTCTTTATGAACGCGCGTTCTCCAATTTTTTAATTGCCAAGGGGGGAATGAAATCCAAAAAAATAAAAAACCCCGCCTTGATTCTCTCGTCCTTCTTCTTATTCATATGTTGTAAAATCATCTTCAATCAAAAGACACCCTAAAAGCATTGTGTGTAAAAGATCGATAATTTCATACTTGAAGTTCCTAAAATCTTCATCGATCAAAAGAAACCCTAAAACCCCACCTGATACCCACCTCAACTACCTCCAACCCACACCGACTCTTCAGTCCTCACATGTCGACGATGTACCGGCCTTATCGACCAACACTTCATGCACCATCACCACACTGTAAGTGCTTTTGTTATCTTGTTATGTTCTGCAATAATTTAATTCCTCAACGACGTTGAGGAGGGGTTATTTCCGTCGGTCGGTACTCCATCCCATCGTTTCCATAATCTTCCAAACATTGGACTAAGTCCAGTGCATTATTCAACTCAAGATTGGTACTCGACATGATGCAATGGAAGAGGATTATTTCAACGGTTTTATGCTATGCAATTTTTATTATTTCAAAATGAGATTTTAGTGTATCCTCTTCCATTGGTCCTTCTGTAATGTTGTTTCAAAATAACGCCGATTTTCTCATTTTCCCCTATTTCTATTAATCTAAAGATTGGTACTCGACATGATGCAACTCTGATTAGTATTCTGTTTCCGATTCGTCTGAATTGAGGGTTTTTTTCCGTAACATTTTAGATTAGGAGTTCATATAGGGTTTTTTTGATTAATTACAAAAAGGCGTTTACTAATTGCTACTTTGATTATTGGTATTTGGAGTTTTATTTGTGAGATTAGTAAGATAGTCAGGCGATCCGTGTATGGGGACTTAAACAATGGGATCGAACGGTGGAACACAAAAACCTGTGTTCGATGGATTGTCAAGGCAAGGATCTCTGTATAACCTAACTTTAGATAAGGTTCAGCAGCAATTAAGCGATTTAGGGAAACCTTTCAATAGTATGAACCTTGATGAGTTTCTGAAGAATGTTTGGAGTGCCAAAGCTAATCAAGGAATCAACAATGGCTCCTCCCCTGATTACTCCGAACTCACCCAACTTGCTTCTGCTTCATCTTTGCCTAGACAATTGAGCCTTAAATTCACCAAGGATTTAACCAAGAAGACAGTCGATGAGGTCTGGCAAGATATCCAACAAGATCAGAAGAAAACGAAGACGAATGGTAGTGAGAGTAACATTAATAATACTAGTAGTTGTAAGAGACAAGCTACTCTTGGTGAGATGACACTCGAGGACTTCTTAGTCAAGGCAGGGATCCTGTCTGAATCTTCTTCTCCTGGTAAGAAGAACCATGAGTAGAATCTTGATCCACCAGAAGCACAGTGGATGAACTACCAAATCCCTCAGATTCCACAACAACATGTGGTTATGTCAAGCCATTATCAAGTACCACAACCCCTCCCTCTGAATGTAATAGACACTGGTTATTTGGAGACACGTATGACGGTGTGTCCTACCCCTTTGATGGGGAGTGTATCTGAGTTTGGAAGGAAACGAGTTGCTTCTGGAGATGTGATAGAGAAGACTGTGGAAAGGAGGCAAAAGAGAATGATTAAGAATAGGGAATCTGCTGCACGCTCTCGAGCAAGAAAACGGGTATGATACTAAACTCCTGTCTTCTTTCTCATTTTACCTGTTATAAATATGTTATAAGAAAATGATGTATTGTTTAACAGGCTTACACACATGAGCTGGAGAACAAAATCTCACGTTTGGAAGAGGAAAATGAAAGACTCAGGAGGCAGAGGGTATGTATATCTCTTTCTCATAGTCCTTTCTCTCTTTTTCATGTTATCCAGTCTCTTCCTTATAGGAAATGTCTTAATGGGAATGTTACTTGTATCTAGTGTTACTGTGATAAGATCTGGAAATTATTTGTGTATTTCTTAGTTAATGACCTCAATTTATATACATAGTGGGTTTAGTGTTTTCATCACCTAACCCAAGTAATCTACTCCAATATGTAGTGTTACTGGGATAAGATCTGGAAATTATTTGTGTATTTCTTAGTTAAACTTGTTACTTGTAAAATGTTGCATTTTTTTTCCGGTTTTATAAGGAAACATGGTTGCATATTTCATCTGCAAAACAATTTTGTTGCATAATTTGGCAACATGGTGAAATGTCATGATGTTTTATGAAGTATACAGCTTATTGTATCTGTATGTGCGCAATATATTTGCAGGAGGTGGAGAAGGTTTTGCCATGTGTACCACCTCCCCAACAACCCACATATCAACTCCGAAGAACAACCTCAGCTCCTTTCTAACAATTAATCATCTTCCTTTTCCTTTATCTGAAGACATGTTGGTGGGGTCATGTAGGGGTAGCCTTTACCTTTTTCTTTTTTAAATTTGTTGGTTAGTCTTGTGTACATTAAATGGAAGAGGATTATTATTATTTCAACGGTTTTTGTGCATTATTTCAATGGTTGCAGGGAACAATGGAAGAGGATACACTGAAATCTCATTTTGAAACAACATTACAGAAGGACACAAGTAGTCTCTCAACAACTTTCTAACTTATTTTATGCTATGGAATTATTATTATTATGAATGATTCTACTATACTCATATAATCATTTTTCTGCAAAGAATGATAATCAGGATCCAAAACAGTTGCAGCAGCCTCATACTTCTCATGCATTTGCTCTTTCTCAAGTCATGCCAAATAACCATAATGGCGGGCCTGTCTTCACGTCAGTTCTCTATCCGAACCAAACTGGGAGCTTATAAGTGATGCCATTAACAACACTTTGCAATTCAAGGTAACAATTCAAGGTAACTATCATATATGTTGTGTTGTGTTGGTTCATGATATTTAAAAATGTGAGTTGAGAAATTTTAGTAATTGAGTGAAAAAAAATAGGTGAAACTGGGAGCTTATAAGTGATGCCATTAACAACACTTTGCAAAAGGTAACAATTCAAGGTAACTATCATATATGTTGTGTTGTGTTGGTTCATGATATTTAAAAATGTGAGTTGAGAAATTTTAGTAATTGAGTGAAAAAAAATAGGTGAAAGTAGGATGCTGTAGTGTGGATGTCCTGAAACAACTTAGTATGGATGTGGTGTCACGTGGGATCAAGAATCGCATGAATACACTAACAAACCATCTGCTGAGTCAACGCAGGTATGTTTTCAAAATTAAAATAATATTTTTCTTTTTTCTTTTTTCTTAATTTAATATTTTTACGTTTGTGACAACAACTTTTATCCTCTGTACCCACCTGCGGAAGACACTCCTGTGGACTTGCCGCTTGCTCCAGAAGCCCTTCAAATGCCTAGTGTTCCAGACATTTTCATTGTCCCTTCAGACCTCACACACCTTGTGAAGGTATCTAATGGATTAGATCTTTTAAATGGTTGTGTGAAGATTTTATTGATATATTATTGAGATATTTTTAGGTTTTGAGCTTGGAGGGGACAAGTGAAGGAGGTGAATTAGGTTGATTCTGCTCTTGTTTTGCACACAAGTGTATTTTCGTCATTTCTTATCTCTAGTTTTATCTCGGTGACATGATAAATTAGGTTAATTTCACTCTTGCTTTAAATAACCTGTTTTGAACAAGAATAATGTTTTAGGTCATATTTAAAAATGAATAAAATAACCTTATTTTTGAACGAGGGTATATAATACGTAATTACAATAAGAGAATAACAGATAACTCAAAATAAGGGAAAAATGTTCATTTTACATGGACTTAACAGATTCGGTTTCATGGTGTTAAATTGAGCGTAGAAAAAAGATTCTTTTAGCTATGAAAACCAAAGAAAATGACAAACCACAAGGACCATTTTCGCAGTTTACTATAACTTAAACAAAATAACCATTTTTTGAACATAGCAGGACGAAAGGACGAAAATACCCTTGTGTGTGAAAAACACGTGATATGGCTTAATGTGTGATTTTGGAAGGATCAAATCCAAAACATAATAGTGGTCAAAAAAGCAACAAAAATTTGTTTTTGGTTAATATTGAAAAAAAGAGTACAACACAGGGACAAACTTTGTAATTTACTCAAGATGTTGTCGAATTAATTATATACCCTTGTGATAGATGCAGTAAAAGGAAGAGCAACTACTATCAGCGGCAACGACAGGCGGTTGTACAACACACTGCAAGGAAGCTTGGAGGGAAAACAAGCCCAAAGTACCCTGTGAATCAAGCAAACAGAAAATGAAACTTGTAGATGAAATTTTACTATAATATCCTTTTACAAATCTTGTGCTTTTTATAGACATTTGAGTTTGCCCAGAGAACATATGCATACTTTTTTAGAAGGTTGGTGGATGAACTTATTGGTCTTGAATTTTTCATGTTAGTCCTGACATTTAGAGGAAGAAGAAAGTGAGCAAGGGAGACTTCGGATGATGAAACAAGGCATGATAGAATGCAATGTCTGTCATTCTAAGATGGTGAATCCATCCGCAAAGACAGTATCATGAGCTTATGATAGACATCGAAGCAAACTTTCAAAAAAGCATCATGCACTCAATGTTCTCTTGGTTGTTGGTGACTGCATGTTAGTTGGCTTACAGGTAATTTCTTTAGCAGTGATATACTGATATCCCTCACAAGTCTCAAGGCTAGAGAGCTTACATATGTTTCATAGACTGTAGTTTTCTTTAAGAGAAACTTGTGGCATCTTTTGTAAACTTTGGATTTATATATTATTTAGATTATTCCCGAATTCCTAACAGTGGAACATAGATTCCTGAGGGAACTTCACCATGGCAACAAAAAGTACTTTCCTTTCACAGTGATATCCCAAGACTATATGAGTCAGATTTGTCATTTTCTGTATGTTGTTTAGAATATATATCCAATTATAGTGAGAAGGATGTTGATGGTATAATATAATCTTTTTCTCCTCATTATCCCGGAAGACAAGATAAAGAACGTGTTTTGTATATCTATTTATAGTACATATCTTTCACATAACATAAACAACTCTTTAAATTCCATGCGTCAGTGACTGGATAATATTTAGGTATAGTTAGTTGTGTACTGTTTCCATGTTACATAATTGATCAATACCTCACTAAATTGATCACCTTTTACAGCCGATTTTGGTGTACATATCCAAGGTTGATGGGGAGTTCAATTTTAGCCCCATCAGTGTTAACTTTCTGACAGAAGTTGCAAAAGTTATCTTTGCACTTGTCATGCTTCTAATACAGGCATGTTCTTCATTTCTTAATTTTATTATATTTATCTTCTGCTTTTGTTTTGGAGAACTTTTGTGTGACCTAAGCTTATCTTTCATTTGTTTACACCTGAATATATGATGCTAACTTGTTGGCTTGGTTATTAGGTATTCTGCTAAATTCTTACAAGTTGCTAAATTCTTTGTTAATTTTCAGGCTAGAAATTAGAAGATTGGAGAGAAGCCACTTCTTTCTGTCTCCAGCTTTGTACAGGTAAAGCTGCCACATTTTCCTTTTTGAGTCAACATATTATGCAATCGTTAGGCTTCTTCCAACAACAAAGTACTCATTGTATTCTTAATGATTCCAAATTCTACTTTATGCTAGCTATAGAATGCTTAAAAGTTAAAAATTTATACTATATCTTATAACCTATAGAATAAGTTCAATTTTTATAAAAGCAGCAGCAAAGCTCATGCTCATGTCTTTATGTCTGCCATGGTTTTCTGCAGGCAGCTCACAACAATGTGCTTCTTCCTGTTCCAACATTCCTCTATGCTATTAATAACTACCTAAAGTTCACTAGCAACCTCCTTCCATGCCCTGCAGCCTCTCAAAGTTCCTGCATTCAGGTTATTCTATTAGAAAGGAAATTGTCAAAGGAGATTGTCAAAGGAGAATTTAGTCATGGGTTTCTTCTAATGTTGTACATGTTTTGTTTTCTATAATAAATATTATGCAATATTAGCATTGTGTTACATTTACTTACTGAATGATTATTTGTATTTGACATATTAGTGCAATGAATTATCTTTATTGTTTATGGTATTTTATTTTGTATTATAAGACTTGTAATGTGTTCTTTAATTTGAAAATTAGTAAATCTATCAAAAATATATAATTTTAAAAACATTTAAAATTATGACAAAAAAAACTGTGTGTCGTCTTCCTTTATGACAAGGGCTTCCTTGATACACATTGCGTGTCATAACTGCGCGTCGTAAATACGTGTCATAAATGCGCATCGTAAATAGACGACGCGCAAAAGTGTGTCGTATCTCTTAATGACAGGGTCTTCCTTGACAAGCATTTGCGCGTTGTCTGAGCGTTTTACGACACGCATTGCGCGTCGTAAAATGCTGTTTTTCTAGTAGTATAGGTCTCTAAGAGAGAGAAGGTGAAACAAATGTTGGGTAAAAGTTCTAGGGTCGTGTTTCTTCGATTCCTTCTGATGGAGGAGAAGAGACCTTTTTATACCTGTGGTCAGGGGAAAAATCCTTGACAGTATCTTCTACGTTTTCAGGTTTGGTAGGGATGGATGACCTTCGATTGGTAGATCGTGCTCTGTGAGTGGCTGTTTGCTATTGGTGCAGGTTTCCGGGGAGCGGCGCCCTGAGCGCTACACCTATCGCTCTAGGAGGCAAGTGGTACTATTTTGTTTTAACGCTAACCTTGGCGCTTAGGCGCCAAGGAACGAACACGGGATCGCGAGGGTGAGGGAGAGGGTGAGGACGCGGCATTAGACATACGTCTTCCTTTGCCCAAACCGTCTATCAGACAGACGGTTCCGTTATGTTTGATGTATTCCTGGTGGGATACGTTATCAAGTTCCCTAGTCTAGTAGACGTTAGCGTTTACTTATGGTAGTTGAGTTGTTCTAGCTTAGATCTAGACACACGTTTGGTGGAGATGGCTCTTTGACAACTTCTGACGTGACAGAGGCATCTGCACAGGCGGTTTCCATCATCATAACTGCTTGAACTTTCCTCCTGCATCAAAATCTTCCCCCATTTGTGTCAGTTCCTCCTTTTACTTTTGCTTCTTCTTACTTTTGCTACTCCTTTTCCTCTTTTCTCTCTGTTTATGGTCTTTTCTTCTTTTTCTTCTTTTCCGACGAACAATGGCTGGCCCAAATACCAGAATCGTTCCTTCTCCGAGCGAATTCGCGGGTCTCCAAGAGAGGTTTGGCTTCCTCCCTGAACATGGTGCGGAATACCCTCGAAAGGGGGCTATAATTTCTCTTCTGCCAGAGGGGAAAGTTGGAGTCCCCATTCCGATCTTCGAGGCTGGTATGAGGCTGCCAATGACTGACATTTTCGACGAGGTAATGCGTTAGTATGGCTTCCGCGTGGATGATTTGACTCTGAACGCTGTCAACAAGATTGTTGGCTTTGAACTCGTTTATCGTACGCTTGGAGTTCTGCCACAGTTTTGGGCATTCAAAGCTTTCTTTAATTCTTCTACTCAGTTCGGTGCTCGGACTATTTCCCAAATGTGGGGTGTTCATGCCTTTGTCATTAAACACAAAGCTCCAAAGAAGAACTAGAAGACCGGTGGCTCTGGGTAAATCGCAACCTTGTCGGTTTTGGCTATCCTCTTTTGACTACTTTTTCCGATCGAGCACCAGAACTGTGTGGTGCTAGTGCCACTGTGGCGCAAGCATTGAAGACCATCTGCATCAATGGAGAGGATTGGGAGGATCATATGCTGGATGCAGTTGGGATGAGTCCTGCTTGGAGGGCTCGGGGGATGATGCCTCAGTTCTATGTTGAGAAGGACGGTAAGTAGCTTTCCTTTCCCTCTTTTTGGATTGTTGTTTTCTTGTGTGTTTTGCGAACTATGTTGGCTTGTTTCTCGTTTACAAGTCACGAGAGGATCCTTCCATTTGATACGGTGATGAGGGGCTGCTTTCAGGGTACCTGCTAATACCGGGAAGTGCCCTTGGTTGAGACGCTCCCTCCACCGGTCAGTCCCAATCGTGTCTTGGCTCTTGCCAGCCCTCTTGTTGCCTCTCCGCAAGGTTCTGATTCTCCCATTGGTCAGATGTTGATTGACGCACCTGTCGGTGGTGTTTCTCATGATGACCCTTTTCCTTCTGATACGGAAGAGGAGGAGGCATCGACCGGGATGGTGCGGCATAACACCCATGCGGCCTCTAAACGACAGTTTTCTTGGATGGATTCGCCGCTTGCAGAGTCTTTTGAGGGCAGATCCTCGGGTCGACGCCTTCTCAAGAGGTGGAACGTGGACTTCCTTTTGGGGGAGGCCATTGTAGTGGTTGCCATCCCCGATATTGACACTCCGAAACAGTCGGAGGGGATGAGTGAAGGGACGAATGAACTGCCCCGTGAACCTAAAGAGGAGCCAGTGGAAACTATTGCCTTATGTGGGAGTGTTTTTAGTGTTGACACAGGCGAAGGTGTTCCAAACTCACCAGTCCAGCTTCTGACTGGGGAGGGTACTGCCGAAGGTTCTACTTCTGCTCTTCTGGTGGCGCCGACCATATATATGCCAGAATGGGGGATAACTCGGGAATCTCGTCTTTTCCCCCCTGCTACCATCGAGGCTTTGGAGCTACTTTCTAACTCACATCTTTCGAACAACCTTTTGTATGCAGCTGCACAAGTTGGTTCGTACATGGTGGCGACTGCCTCTACCTTCGTCAGAGCGATTCTAGTTCAAATTAGCTAGCTTTGGTTAAAGTTGAGCGGGATGAACTGAAAGCGAGGTTGCTGAGATAGAGGGGGTGGAGGAGCACTATGATCTTTTAGCCGGGGACAAGGTGTCTTTGGAGGACCAAGTGGCTACTTTGGACGGCTCGGTGGAACGATATTCTCAATGGATCGAAATTTTAATGGAGGAGAAGAGGGTATTGGAGAGCCAAGTGGATTGTGTTAATAACGTCTGGAGAAGAATATCGCGGGGAGAAAGGATGCAGAGGAAGATTTGGGGTGGTTGCTTCAGAAGGGCATTATCCGGGTGGTGGATAAGGTTGTCGAGAGCGCTGAGTTTTCATTAGGGGTTAAGCGGATGAAAGTGGCGTGTGTGGCTGTCGGTGTGGAGAATGGCGAACAGGCGATTCGGGAGTAGGTTGCTGCCAGAAAGTTTGTCTCTAGGGAACCGAACGTTACTGTGGAGCATGCTCAGGCGATGCATACTGCTATAAAATCTTTTATGGAGACATACTTTGCCTCCTACCTTCGCCTAGGTGAGTTAGACATAGAAGGCCTTCGCAAATTGTGTGATGATCCTGACACTGAAGAGGGTCAGCCTGAAGGTGGCTCTTCTAACGCTGGACCTTCCTCCACCCCTCAGTAATTGATGACTTTTCTCCTTTTTTCGTTGTTTGATGTTTGTGATGGTATTTGTTAAACAATATTTGATTTTCTTCCTTGGCACTGCGTGGTCTTTTCCAAATCCCGGGGGGTTGTTCGGGTTAGAAAAATTGCTCCCTTTGTTTTATGCGTACTAAGTTTGCTTTTTTAGTTTATCACATTTTTTTTGTCTTGGATGGCTTGTGTTGGCCATCTTTAGTTTGAGTTTTCCCCAGAGGTTAGTGTTGGCCTTTAGGGGTCTCGGTCATGGTTGTCGTTTGCTTGATAAGTTTTCGGGACCTAGAGCGTCTGTTTTGACGGAATCGGCACTAGCCCCTGGGTCAGTCTTTATGAGTCGAGGCTTTAACTAGTCTTTAGGTGTGAACTCTGGCTGGTTCGTTTCGTTAGGGTGTCCTTTCTAGTTAAAAGCCTTCACTTTGGGGCTTTGCTCTAAGCCCTGGGTCATGGGGAGTTGTACTCCGACTTTAGTCATCCGAGCAAGACCAAGGTCGTCACCTCGAGGTCTAAAAGCTCAGGTATTATGCATTTCAACGGAACGTTTATGATCCTTTAAGGCCTCTTACTCGTTGTGATTGGGAGTTGCAGCTCTCCTGACCTCATCGACATGTTTTTTAGGAGGAAGTGATGAGCCCTTGAGGCCTATAATTGTGTTTTTTTCTTCAATGGTTTTGTGTTGGGTGGCATGGATGATCAGTCCGTCTTTATTTTCCATTTGTACGAAAGTATGTTGATACTTCTTTGTTACAAATTGTCTTTTCATTGCATACTTTTTGGTGTCTTGGAGACATTTACATCGTTAGATAAGTATCAGGAGTCCGAAAGTTTTTTCTATTCTAGGTCTAGCTCTTGGACTGACTAGTTGGGGCGTGATTATCCGTTAGGAGTTTGATCACTTAGCCCCTTCCATTGACTCCTCCTAAGCAAGGACTACTGGCTTGGGCTCTGGGGCTCCCAAGTCATCTGGGAGAGTTCTTCTTCTTGGTCTTTCTTGGTTTGTGTCTTTCGACAGTTCGTGCCTGAGAGCTCTCTAGCATTCTTGTTCGTGTGGGAGCCGTGGTCGGCTGTTTCTGGGATGATCGTCTTTCGGAAGACGATTTTCAATTTCATCCATTCTCCAGCTTTGGTTTTCTTGTTATCACCTTTGGGCGGTTTTACCTCCTTCTGCGTGACTTATTCATTGATAGCTCTGTTTTTTGCGAGGTTATTAACTAGATGTTGTCCTGGGGGAAGCCCCTTCCAGTTTCAAACTCTTACAGTTGTAGTGAGTCTCCTGTACATGCCTTCTTTTTTGGGGTAGTTTCCTACCCTGACTGCTCCGGCACTCGCGATTTATTCGTTGCGTTTTTTGGTCGAGTCGCGTGACTTCGCGCGTGTGTTACCATGTTTCCTCCTTTACCATGATCCATGCCCTTGTTGTGAGAAGACGTGTGAGTATGCTCAGTGATATCCAGTCTCGCCTAGTGTTCATGCTGACAATCCTGAATGTTTTCGGAGTGGTGACGTTGTTGCTATTACGCCCTTCTCCCCCCGGACTGTTCTTTTAGGGCTGGCTTCCTTTCTTCCTGTCTTGGGTGTGGGTATTTGTTTTTTTG